CAACCCCTTCTAAACGTCCCTCTCAACCAACTCTTGGTTCTCCTCAGAGGGCCAAGAAAGCCAAAAAGGGGATATCCACGTCTCTAGCTGGAGCCTCTCAACAGGCTTCAGTTATTGAAACAAGCCTTACCCCCGATGCACCTTCTGTTAACCCTCCCAGCTCTTCAGTGATCTCTCCTATCACTATCGTATCAGTGGTACCTTCCCCAATCACTTTAGTGACCCAACTCATTGAACGTGTAGATATCAGCGCCGCCACCGCTGAACACCCACATATCTTCTCAACCATTTTCTCTTCTCCTCCTTCCTTGGTCTTTACACATGTCCATGATGTATCAGTGCCTGTCCTTCCTGATACTGAGACACACACCACAGGACCTGAGGTTGCTTCTCACGATGCTCCTCAGCATACGGTTGTCCATCCTCTCGAGGACTTCTCTGCTCCCACCAGTGAGACTCCTTTTGATGTCACTAAAGGCCCCTCAGGTATTCCATCTTCCTACCCCTTCATTTCTTCTAACCTTGAGCCTTTCGCTCATACTTCCTCTTTTGCAGGTCCTTCTTTGATGCAGCAGCCTGCTGCTCATGAAGGTGGAGGAGATGCTGGAGAAAGAGAGAAAGATGGAGGAGATGAAGACATTGATGATGACTATGATATGGCATCTGACATCAAGCTTCTCCTTCCAGCCGTTGATACCGTCCTCTCCAAGGTCAACGAAGTTCACCAAGAGATGGCCCGCCAAGGCGATCTTGATGCGAATTTCCTAGCCCTCCAGGCGGACATTCAAGAAGTTCAGAGTCAGCTCCAGACTCTCCAGGAAGCTGTTCAAATCAACAACGATGCCCTTGCTGTTCTTCACAGTAGGGCTGACGATGCTCAAGCAATAGCTGAACAGCAGACTGGACTTCTTCAGCAAATCCTGGATGCTGTCCGTCAACCAGCTCCAGTGAGTGCACCCTCCTTCTCTGCCGATGATCACGCTCAGCTCTCTCAAACGCGTGAGGCAACGATAACTCTAGCCAAAACTTTGCAAAGGCTGGAGGATTCCATGGTTCTCCAGCGTCAGCGTTTGGACGAACTCTCTGGCCAATTCTCTCAAATGTTAGCCAGAGAGGGGGAGATGAGGTCCAACGCTGGTGGATCATCTGATGCTACTCCTAAAGCTTCTCAGGCTGTTGGCCCAGTATCAGCTTCTGTTGCAGTTGAAGCTGAGGCTGCTGAAGCTGAAGCGGTTACTGCTCATGTAATCACGTGCACCAAAGCTGCTATAGCTGAGGTTGTCGAAGCCATCCCTAGGGATGATGTCCATACTATCATTGCTGCTGGGGATGATGATGATGTTGATGTGGATGAAGAAGATGATGATGAAGACGATGATGAACCTGTCATTCTAGACACCGGAGATGATCTAGTTTGTGACGAAGACGATGATGATGACTTTACCATCAAGTTCCAAAAGCCATCAACCGTTACCAAAGGTGTTGCCCTCAGGGTCAATCCCAAGGGGAGCAAAGACAAGGCGAATCGACTCCATCAAGGCACCAGGATCCCAAGTCGAAAGGGAAGGCGATCGCTGAAGAAGGTAACTTGAAGGTTCTTTTCTCACACCCTCAACAAACCTTATTTGAAGACTCTACCTCTCAGGTAGTGATCACTTCAAAGTACCAACTTCATATCCCTTCAACAACCTGCGGTCGACTGGAGCGGGTATCTGATCAACCCAGCTCTTTTACTCCATCCGACCAGCAGATATCTCAGCTTAAGGAGTCGCTCGACCAGACTAGAGTAAAAATTCCTCTTCGTACCTCTAGTGGTGGTGAGTTTGATTTCCTTTCTGAAGCTGAAAGACTCGAGGCTTTAAGGGCTGAAGAAGAACTAGAGCTTCAAAGGAAACAGACTGAAGACAGCTTAAAGCTGGCCAAGTCTCTAGCCGCTAAAGTCCTTGCCAAAAAGTCCAAGAAAACGGTGAGTGTTGTCCATGCACAGGCCAAACTCCTTCAAATTGAAGAAGTTGAACGCAAGAAGAAGCTGAAGCTTGTGGACAAAGAAAAGCATTGGAGCGAAGCAAAGTTGAAAAAGAGACTCAGTCCCCGTCCAATCATCAGCGTCAGCATCAGCGGACAATCTAAAGACAGTGGAACTCTTGTCTCAATGCTCATCACCAGCGATAATCTTGAAGCCGTTACCGAGTATCCTTCCTACCTAAGCCGCTATGGATACAGCGAATGGATGGAGATCAGACAAGCCATTCAGCAATCCAAGTCGAGACACAAGACACTTATCGAGGACACCATCAACGAGATCATCAAAAGGATGTCCAGATATGTCAAGGTCCCTGACAGGCCAACTCTGAAGAAAGGTGGGAAGAAGAAAATAAAGCTCCCTGATCCTAATGAAGGACCATTCCTAATGAACGAGCATGAAACAAGGTTCTCCTTAGATGAAGTCCTGAAGGGTCATAGGAGTATTAACATTTTTATGCTGAATCTTGACTTGCCAGATAAGGGTCCCTTTTCACCCAACTCTGTGCATTTTAAACCTGAGTTAGGAGTTATATTCCTTGACTATGAAGGTGAAGTCAGATTTCAGAG